GATAAAATATAAACTTCATTCTCTCATCTGATCTTTAAACATCACATAGAAACTATTCACAGCAAATACCTAAACAATTCTGTGTGCATTTGTACTGATCATGATCAGTTATGTATCATCTTGTATTGTCCTCCTGATATTACATAATTTTCTGATCCCATGATAATTATTATTACATGCTGATTTATCATTTGTAATTAGGTAATTATAAAACAAATATGATTGAACATTATGTACTTTAATTAAATTGTTTAATTAATAAACTTTTAATTACGTGGAGAATGTATCACATTAGTCAACATGCATACACAATTATGCCATATGATAAGAAGGATTAATTAGATTAGTTTTTTTTATTTATATTCTATAAAGGAAACAATTCAAATCAGCTGATTTATTTAGTTACTTCAAACAAATCACATTCAATGAAAGTAAGTGACATGAACTCAATGAAAACGATGTATTTTAATTGAAAAAAAAGCTAACTAATTAAAACGTGACTGTCACATTATTATTTATTCAATGAAATAAACAATTAAAACTTTATCAGAAGGGGGTTTCGTCCTATTGTGGGACTCCTTAGCATTGCGCATCCACCGTCCAATGCCTCAAGGTTTTCCATAGTGGTCTAGCTTTAATTGACTCATGATCTCAACTATATAAAATTACTAAAATCTCCACAAAACCCCCTTTCTGATAATGATCATATGCACACTAGTGACTGGCTCCATGAGGTATTTCGTGGAGTTCTAGTGAGAAGCAGTAACCAGTGGAGTTCAACCACGTCTGTTGAGAAATAACAACTCACCGAAGACGTTGATGAATGGTTGCTCAGTCTCGTGGATTGGTTGAAGTTAGACATTAACACCATGCCGGCTCAGTGGTCTATCTGTTAAGGGCTTCGGCTCGAGACTGATAGGTGCTGAGTTCGATTCTCGCGAAGCGGGATCGTGGTTGCTCACTGCTGAGGGGTCCCCCGATAGGCCGTCCAGTGCTTCCAAGTTTTCCATGGTGGTCTAGCTTCAATTGGCTCATGATCTCAACTATATAAAATTGAAACTTTAATGAAAACTCGATAATTTCAGTAGCAGATTACACTGTATCTATTAATAAGGATTTACTAATCGTGCACTGTAGTATACTCTAATACCTTTGTTAAGAATTAGAGCTGTAGTGACTACAACGATGTTGAAGTCATTCTTTGTGATCATAGTGAATGGTGTTTTTATTAAATTACCTATTGTTTTGAAAGGATTTATTCAATAGATTTATGTTTGAATATTATCCCATATTACACCATAATCTATCATTTGAAACATTGTTTGTTTGTTTGGTAAATTTGAATCGAGTGACCAAAAATACTATTAAAGATTATCATATAGTTACCTGAAAGCATTCTTTACTTACTCATTTAAAACATCGAATAGACACTGTAAAGATTATTTATTTTTATTTATTTAAATATATACATATTGGTACAAAAGGGCACCAGATACATATGCGTCACACAAAATAATGAGAATGGGAGGAGAAAGCTGGAAGGTGTGTATATGTAAAAGAAGAAATAAATAGGATGAGAAAAATGAGAAGAGTAATGATGGGGGAACTGAAATGTACAACCAGAGGAACTCTCTCAGTTAAGAAAGTTATATCCACTCTTTATGAAGAAAGTAAAAGAAGGTTACAGTAGGCCCGCCACTGGCTTCTATTCTGAGCCATATCTGATAACGTCTCTAGCCACTGTGTTGCACCATCTCTTGGACCCCAGCCAGGGAGTCGTGAAGGACCAACAGAAGATAGCCCTTTGCAGCTTTCTTTCATACCACACCATGTCATACACTGACCACCACTGTAAAGAAGTTATTCCTAGAAGATATTTTTAATGAATTCACTGTGTTCAGTTTGAAATTTAACGTAAATATATGTAACTTTGGCCAGTGACCTTTGAATTCATATAATCTCTACCAAAAACGCTGAAATATTTGAAATAGCCATTAAGGGAAAACCACGCGATTAATGATGAATTGTTACAGAATTGTTAAAGGACATTTCAAAAACAAACATCTGTTCAACATTTATCTGTCAAGTCATGATTTTCGTGTGTTGTGGACTCGATAACATTATAGTTTCTCAATTTCAAACTCCTGCTTTTTACGTTCATTTAAAAATTCAACTTGCGTGAATCTTTCAATAGTTGAGAACATGAGTCAATTGAAGCTAAACTACCATGGAAAACGTTGAGGCACTAAACGGCCGTTTCGTTCTATTGTGGCACTCCTCATCAGTGCACACTCATAGTAATTATAATTATTTCACACTAGTCAACTAAATGACTTTCTTCATGTTACACACCGAATTACACTTATAAAACACTTAGTTCATTCATACAAATCAGTGAGTGAGAGGCTTGAAACACATGAAATGAAATGTTTGTAGTTTTTGTTTTACAAAAGTTTATCAAAGGAACTAATTGAATGAAAAGATAATTCCTTCTTATCTTGAATTTGATCATTAATCTAGTTCACCGTTTACATTTTCGTGGAAACTCCCTATTCATTATGAATTAAACTGTTTTTCATTGTGAATGGATTCTCCAATTAGTGATAATTATTAGTACCGTAATTGATATTTGGGCATTGTGCAAAGCAACGTCAGATTTCTATGTTCTCATTTCATTTTCGAAATAACTCTTCCTGTTTACAAACATGATTCAATTGCTGAGAAGTGTGTATATTACTCAGAGAATTCCATAGAAGTTGAGAAATGCATCAAATGATTGGCTGCTCGTTATTCGTTCGAGGATCAATGTTTGAATAGTGGTGGGAATCGAGTAACTGTTTAGAAAACACTTAAGAACGATGTTGTAAAATATTTGAGTTGATTTTAAAAATGCTATTTGAATATTATCTGGTATTCAGTTGTAACGTTACATGTAACCAACAATGAGTTCAGAGGTAAATATTTATGTGTAATGCTGAGATAAGTGTTCCGATCGAGTTTGAAGTGGCGTGTTTAAAGGAGACTGAATTTTGACTGTCAATTTTGGAATAGTATTATCAATTAAGATTTTGTTGTAACATAATGTCCTCTCATTTGATCATTGTTATGTTTCAATTCGATTAACTGAATCGTAACTTTCATAGTCCATTCTCTAATATCTTGTTTATACCGGATATTACATACATCTCTTAAACAGAATGAATAAACTCTTCAAAAAAGGATGAATAATAGTTAACGATTATGAAAAGTTATCATGACCAAGTGAATGCTGGATAGACCACCTCTCCTTTGTTTGACATAGAACTATCAATCTACTGCTTTTATCAATCACTGTTAAATTCGAACTAATTCATCAAGAGTAGTGTCAAAATGTTTAGTCTCGTAAAATCTAAAATGCATATTACTTCTATCCAGTTGTAAAGGAATCACCCCCGTTTTCATCATTAGATGAACGTGGTGATGTGTACATATGGAGCACGTATATCATACATAGGAGTGAAAAGTTGTCCCAATCTTGTACTGGTTTAAATCACTTAACTATTGAAAATTGATTCAGTTCAGAGAGTTTCATTTTGTCACTTTAGTAAACCAAATAATTCAATAATCAATTACACATTTTCCTCATGATTGTTTAGCCCAAATAATTAGTTTTGAATCATGTTTCTCCAGGAAGTAGTCTATTATGCTTCAATCATATTTTCAACTGTACTACAAATATCATGATCCACAAATAGTTTGACTGACTCAAGATATTTTTTTTCATCCTCGTCAGAAACAGACTCTCACCTCTTCTTGGTGCATTAGAGCTAGTTAACCGTGTTCACATCGTCAAATGACGACTTGCAACCTAATACATTTGATTTTCTTATTCTTTCACGGTTTGGTAACCTCTGGGATGTGGCCTGAGGTGAATAGCATCCATACCTATGTTTTTACTATGAAGTGTATGTATCTCGATCTATACACTTAAATATGTATGTAACTTATACATATGACCGCAAGTATCTTTTCGTTTGTGCACTATCATGTGTATACGTCTTCGACGTATTGATTCTGTGTATATATGTAACGCATACTTGCGGCAGTACTATGTGCCTTACTGGTGCATTCGTCATGGCTCTAAATGCTTTTGGTTTGTTACAGAGTCTCCGAATGTGATAACTAAGTGTAGACTGTGGCGTGTTCGTTCGCACTAAATAAATCGGATTCCCTATTTTTACGCGAAATACACCAAAGTAAACTGCTAGCGCATCCGTTTGTTTTGCTTCTTCTAGTGCTGCAGTTGTGAACTATATGAAAAAGCTGTTTTTTTCCTGAAGGGTCTACTGGTTTTTCCCACTTAATTGGAAGGGATTAACTGATTAACTTAGAGAAACTGTCTTTTTTCGTTAGGTAAAAGTCAGCATGCCGAACCATCTGTCATCCATAACCTATGGTTTCCACTGAGCTAGTACGACTTTTGTTACGATGTTGAACATTCATTCAGTATTTTAGATCGCAATAAAAGCCAAATGTTTAGATTTTAAATGATCATTACATAAAAAGTGATTTGAGTTAACACCCTCTACACAACTACTAAAGACTAGAATGTCACCATGGTTTGTCAGAGCTGCAGTTAATAATATTTACCAATAAACTTCAAAAGTAATCAGGCTACACCTTTTCTCCCTTTGGTTGCTAAAACAGATGGTTACAAATCATTGGTCTAAAAAAGAGCGCATACAGACACAACTGGTTGAGTGTCATCCCTCCATAAGATTTTCAGGTAGTTTAATTTAATTAGCAATGGGGTTTTAGATCTATGGTAATGCCAACCAGTTATGTATAACGGAGATAACTTGGATACTTTAGGTACACCTACGTTGTATTCTATTGGTCAAAAGGGCAAGTAGGAGTCAGCTCATCGATATGGATTTTATATTTAAACAGTGAAACTTTTTTCTCTGACTTGTTAGTTCGATAGCTGGTTCCATTGTTCTGTTTCACTGTATTGCATTAGAATGGTCAAGTGAGTGGACTCTTGACAATATTATATAACGTTTTCTTAGTTTATTATAATACTTACCATTTACTGTACATGATTTTTGTTTATGCTTTAGCCGTACAGAGGCTGCACAACTTTTGAAGCACCTTGATAGAGATAAAAGTGGAAAAATTAGCTCACAAGAGTTAATGGAATTTTTGCACACCGTTAACTGTCCATTCAAAAAAGAACAAGTTGAGAAGTTTATCAAGCAGCACGACAAAGACGGAGATGGACAACTAAATACTGATGAACTCCTTGATGTTTTATGTTCATAATTTCGTAATGTTTCAGTAGTGTTTCTTTCATAAATAAATAGTCATTTAATTTCATACCACAGAGTTTATAAAACTTCATTTTTATAGTGGGTATTTTCTGTCGATTTGTTTTCTCTATAAAAAATCTTGTCTGCTATTTGTCGGGTAGTAAGTACTAGGTGGTTTATTCGGAACACATTTTCATCACACGTACTGCACAATGCTGTTGTTTTATCAAACCTTCACTAAGCTTCACGTTAGAGAGTATATGAAGATATATTTCGGTTTGTTACTCTTGGATTATGTCCTACACCCGTCGAGTACAATTTCCATGTTGTAAGCTCTCATACCAACAAGGACAACTCACCTTTTATGTACTTAGTACGTGATGAAATTTCAAAAAAAAGAATCTGAATGCCAATATAGACTGCTTCACTGCGCGAAGTTATTTCTCATAATGTGTATGGATTCCAAAGAGTTTAGGTACACATTGTTAACAAGTCTACTTACTTAAGCTTCATCAAGTTCTTGAATATTCCGAAGCGGTGAATCGAATTAGTGCGTTGTCCATTATTGCTTCCTGTCGAACGTTTTATCATATGTGCATAATCTTCGACCATTTAGAAACAGTCATCTTGGTTACTTGTTACTTGCCAATATCTCATTGTACAATGCTCCAATCGTGTAGTAATTACATGTGTTCGGTTCTTTAACACAAGTAATCCACTAATTATTTATTCAGGTCTAATTATCCTTGCCTCTGTTTTGTTGTTGCTATCCTGGCTACTGACAGATACTCTAATTTTGTATTTCTCATAGAGTTAAAAAGACTATAAATGTTTTTAGGTTAGAAGTAATCGAAAACTGGATATCTTCAATCTCCAGATTATTTAGATATAGGAAATTCATTTCTATGTTGAATCTAAGAATCATTGATTTTGTGAAGATATATGATAAACTACTTACTATTTTTCACTCACTTGGTGAACAGTTCATTGCAATATTTGATAGATCACAACTTTGATTTTCATATGGTAATTTTAAATCATTAACTAGAGTCGAATTACTTGCAAATAGAAGCTCATAAATACGCAAACGCTACGGCGTCCAGAAAACATATCCCCCTTTGAACCCTGGGTTTACATTGTACAGATGAATAAAATTTGTGTAAGAATAACAGAAAAAATTTCGTAATTTTGAGATACTTGCTACTAACCAATGAAATGTATTTTAACCATGTTATCAATAATGAAGAAAATACTTATTTCTGAGCACTTTTCAATCATGTATGTGTCCATTGTGTGGTTTTTATACGCAAATATATCGATTTAGAAATGTCATAAGGTAAATAACTATGTAACTACAGCATTGTATATATTGTCACAGTTGTCAATCAGATAGGTAAAACTTCAAGTAAGAAATATGTATGACCTTTCTTTAGATTCATATAATCAAAAGAATATATACTACATCTATGTAGCATTCACTGAGAAACAATAAAATCATTCAAAGTAAAGATTTGCATATTTGAAAGGCTTTATTGTAGAGAACTCGTTCTAATCATTAGACCTTAATGATTATTGTCTGCTATTTGTCGGGTAGTAAGGACGAAACGCGCGTCCTGGATTCCATTGATAACCACTATCCATCTCTCCTTATAATGCTTGTGAATGAAAGCTATATTGAGGCAATACGCACAGTATGCACATATGCCAATTAGAGACTGGCCAGTTGCAGTCCTAACACATCGATGGGAAGATTCAAACAAACAATACTAAATGAACTTAATGATTATTGTTATTGTGTATTATATATACTGTATAAACGAAAACTTCATTTTCGAAGTCGCTTTGTAACTATGACTACATCAAATAGCATTATAGTAAAGTATATTAAGTCATCATTAGGTCATATATTAAGTCAATGGTGTACATGAACAGAGTTTAAAAAGGCTCTCCAGGACGCCATTGTGATCGATTCTCAGCCACGTCACCTAGAGTCTCCAAACATTGGTTACGATAATCACACGGACCCCAACCAGGTAGTCTGCATCTACCGACATGATTAGGACTAGAAGTTAGTAACTTCAAGCACTAATGTCAAGTTTCGGTTTAGCCTCCCCTAGCTCTCCTCCAACCATCCCCAAAACTAGTCATCATTGCGCGTCGTGGTAATCGGTGTTCAGTCATACGTAACACGTGGCCCAACCATCTCAGTCGATGAAGATTCACAACTTCATCAACTGGTTTACCATCATCCCCTAATACCCTGTGTCTAACCTCATCAGTACTTACCCGGTAATCCCAGCAGATGCAAGCAATAATGTTAAGGCATCTGTGGTCAAATACTAGTACCTTCTGCTCTTAATGGCCACGTTTCTCAGCCGTAAAGTAGAACAGAGCGAGCTGCTCCCTCAATCGTCTTCGCCATCGGTGACGTAAGTTGTTAATAGTCAAACGAGCTTCTTTAATCTGTACAGAAATTTCGTCAGACACAAACCCATTAAGGCTAAACAGACTTACAAGATAAGTGAAGTTGTCCACGCGTTCGACTACTTCACTCCCTATCCTTAGTTCAGGTATTGACGCAGGCGATTTAAAGTGGGAGAAACCCGTTCCAAACATCCTTGCATTGTTACTCAGCTCTATAAAAAGACTCTGCATTTTTTCAGCGTCTTCACCAAACAGGACTATGTCATCTGCGTATTCTAAGTCAATAAGTGAACCTCCTGGAAGAGGATCAATTCCCGAAAATTCAGTATGCGAGAACGTTATTTCGAGCAGTAGGTATGTGATGACAGTTCGCCATAAACTGTGATTCAACTGTTAGTGTTTGATTAAAGAGCCTTCACAAGGTTAATGCACTTTTGAGGTACACCTTTCAATGACAGACTCCAATGTGTAGTTTGGAGAGAGGTTTCAGTAGACCTGAGACAGTGTTTCGCGCACTAGAATCGTTCTCCATCGCGGCACTTGAGGAGGAAGTTTAGAGTTTAAAATCGAGGTAGTAGGAATAATAGGAATTGAAGAGGGAGATTGATAATGAATACATTGATATTGAGTACTGTTAGAGGTATGGGGTTCTTCTAGATGTACTTGAAAACGAAATTGAGTTAGAAGTGGTCTTAGTGACCTGAGAGAGTGACGACAATACTCAAGGGACAACTGCTTGAGGCCGGTCACACACGACGTTTTTGTTAGTAATTTTCGTATTAGCTTCGTACTTGTTGGGACGTTCCCGCCGGAGACGTAAATCCGTGGGATTAGGAGAGGTGTGCATCTTTAAGGTCGACCTTTTCTAACCCCACCCGTCCTTGTAGGAAGGCAGCATCTCTGCAGATGGTGGTTGTCCGAGGGAAACACCTTACTGCCATCACACCCCTGTACAGTCAGCAGTACGATTTTGCCCTCAGACCTTGGGTTCGCTGCTTTTAGTCTTACCTGTCTGGCATGGTAGGACCTTGAGGAACGATTGTTCCAGCCAGTATAGCTCTATTGGTTCTTCACGATGGGCAAGCCTGACCACCACGTCAAGGTAGCAGCAATGGTCGGGATAAACAGCTTGTAGGGTCAGTGAAATGTCACTGGGCCCTATCAAAATCATTTGGCAGTCAGGTCTCTGAATGTCAAACAGTCCATCGATCCTTGTCAAGTTCAAGGACAACCAACGCGCATCAATTAGTAGCACGCCATGGACTGGCCCATGTGGTAGTGGTCGTAACTTCTCTCTTTTACTTACTGTTACTAATAAATTTCTGTAATAACATTTTTTTGTTATGTAGTCTTCAAAGCAACCATAGCACGTTGATGCGACGAAAGGGTAGTCGATGTTAAGTGCTGACTGCGAGGCGCGACTTCGAAGTTAGCTATTGGTCACACCATTCCGATCTAACTCGAATAGGCACCCACTCATTTCTATATAGATCATCTACGTTGGTGATCTACAAGCTCTTCTTAATCATTTTTTATAAGCTGTTCCCATTTGGATACTATTTACTAACACACTAATGATCAACATTTCAGCTTTACACATAAATATTTAATGTCAATATTCCATGAAATAATCAGATAAAATTATTCTAATTTGAGTTATTAAAAAAATTTGATGATTTGCTTCATAGGACAATTAAAATGTTAATTTTCATACACTATCCTTAGGGTTTTATTCATAAGAATTAAGTCTCTTCATAGATTGCTTGAAGTGTTTTTCTGACTTGGAAATCACTCTATCACACTGGAACGTTAATAAATGTTGATTATATTTGCTGGTAATTTCGCGTTGTTCTATTAACATCACTGACTCCCTGTCTTTGAACACAAGACTCAAAACTCATAGAGTTTATCTTAAATAGAACAGAGGGGTGAAAATCATTTATCACCAAATTTGTTAACATGAATAAATCGTAGGAAGGTTTAGCGAAAGCAAGGATTAGAAAGACAACAACTATAGTTGATAATCAACTTTATTCACTATGAAATTTCTCCGTTACATATGATTGTTAAATGTACTATCATTCCAATACAAATAATATGGTTAATCAATCAAGTCAACATTCAACAACCGTAAAATTATTAAAAAACATATATCATGTGTATTAGCATGTTACTACAGTGAGGATATGAATATAATCTGAATTTTCGTTCCGAGTTATTTTTTATCGACTAATAATTACCTCCCTCATTTTTAGTAGTCACTATTATTGGACAGAACTTTTCATTGGCTTTATCGAAATTTTATTGATAATCTAAATTAACATTGTAACTAACTAGAACTATTCGTTTTATTACTATGGTAATTTAAAAATTTTGGAAAATTTATTCGCTGCTCATTTTTCTCAGAGTATGAAATAAATAACTATTCTATAATTCAGTTACGTGAATTTAACTTTCTAGTAGGTAGGACACGTTTACTTCACCGTTTTCTTCAACCATCATCGCGTTACTTACCTAGTCACTGGTTTGTGCAACAGAATGAATTTTAATTCATTTGTATTGGTTGTTTGAATCTTCTCACTGATGTTT